ACATCTAGGCAGCTCATTTGGGGTGCCCCCTTGACGAGCTGGAAGGGTCTCTCCCCGCCTCCACCTGGGAAGCTCTCCCTCCAGCCTCTGTCCCCCCCTTTCAGCTTCCTGGGGGACGGGGTGCCAAGCTCTGGTGTTCTCTCCCCTCCCCGCAGACATCCGGGCTTGCGCCTCGACCCCCTGTGCTAACAGCGGAACCTGCATGAACCTCGAGAAGGGCCACTATGAGTGCTCCTGTGCCCCCGGGTTCTCTGGGAAGGACTGCCAGAGGAAGGATGGGCCCTGCGTCATCAACGGGTAAGTTCCTTCCTTGTCCTATGTCACCTGCACGTCCCTCAAGACCCTTTCGGCCCGGCCCAGTCGGACCTGTCCCCTGACAAAACCCCCAGTAAGGGCTCGGCCAGTGGCCCCGTGAGGGGCTGCCCTCCACCAGGGGCAGTGCCATTTCCATAATTTTCTAAATGACCCTGAAGGCGATTTCACATTCCCCCGCTGTCCCCAAGTCCTGATGTGTGTGAATGACAGTAGATTGGGCCGTGAATCAGAGCTCGGAGCTGCATCATTTTCTAAAGGCAGCATAATAAGAGATCAGAGTCTGGCAGGGCCCGAGGCTGTCTGTGAAACCCACTCACCACATTTTAGGGGGCGGTTTTGGGGAACAGTGGGTTTCTTGGGGTGTCTAGGCTGAAGAGGTGGGGCCGGGATGCTGCCACTGCACGAGGTAGAGGTGGGGGTGGGGACAGGCCATCAAGACAAGGGGTTGAGGTTCAGCCACCCTCCGTGGGGAGGGGTCTGGGACTTCTGGGGAGTGGGCACGACAGACCGAATAGCCACTTGCCTCTGTGCCTTGGCTGCTTCTGGCCTTTATCTGCGTAGCTGCACTTATGAGGCTTAACTGGAGGCCAGGGGAGACCTTGACAGAAGCAAGAATTCAACCTAGAACCTCGTCCAGGGCTGGGGGCTGGGGCGGGGCACCCCGACCTCTGGGGAAACAGAAGCTAAGTGCAAAATCGGTTTATCCTGACCTAGCGTTGCGGGGCGACGTGGGGGACCCGGGAGCTGGCGACCGCCACCAACGGGTATTTGTGAGGCATCTGGAGATCAGTGCCCAGAGGGGTCAGAGGAGAGGGGGTGTCACCGAACACCGGTTCTGCTCATTAGTGGGAAGAGAAAATACAGAGCGAGACCTTTACAATATTGTGCGTTTCTCTCTGACGGACTTGAACCGGTCTGTCAAAGTACAGCGCAGGGCCCTCGAAATTCCTTCAGGGCTCAGCTCCTATGCAGCCCTCGTCCCCAAGCCGCGGTGCCGGTTTCTTGTGCCTAGAGCCCCTTTCTTCCCTGGAGTTTTGGCATTTATCAGATGACAAAGGGTCTGCTCGTTTAAAAGCACTTACATTAAATGCTCCGTGTGCTCCGCTTTGAGCAGCCGGCTTCGGTCTGCGAGCCGCACTTGGGTGAATGAGCCACTATTAACCAGCCGGGCACGGACGCTGGCTCGAGCCAGCAAAGGCAGAGCGCGTATTTCTTTCACTCAGAGAGTCCCCAAGGGTTTCCTGCACAATAACCTGCAGGCTCGCTCTGCTGAAAATAAAAATAATAATGGGGTGGCGCTGGTGGTGGGAGCAAGTGAATGATGCCCTGTGTGGCTCAGTCGCAGCAGCCAAGGGACCAAGCCAAGGGGGGGGCTTCGTCACTGACTTCGCCTCTCCCAGCCTCAGTGTCCCCGCTTGTCCTGTGACTAACCATCAGGCTTCTGGACGGAGGGATGATATAGAGGTGGGAGAGGGGGTGGGCGTCCAGCGCGGGAGGTCAGGCGCGTTCCAGGTCGGCAGAGTGACGAGGCGGGGCGCGCGCCCCGCCCAGGTGCGCATCCGCCTTGGGCAGCCGGGAGGCCCTGGCAGGCAGGGGTCGCGGTGCACGGCGCCTCCCTGGGCCTCCCTGGGCCTCCCTGGGCCTCCCTGACTGGCATCGCTCGCTCACCTAATGTGTTCTGAGCACCTGCCCTCTCGTCAGGCCCCACGAGGTCTGCGATGTAGGGTGAGGGGAGCCCAGCGCCAGCCCCCCGCCCCCAGCACCGCCACCCTAGCCCAGCCCGCGAGGGCCCCTTACCACGTCCCCTGTCGCGTTGCAGTTCCCCCTGCCAGCACGGCGGCACCTGCGTGGACGAGGACGGCCGGGCCTCCCACGCCTCCTGCCTGTGCCCCCCTGGCTTCTCGGGCAATTTCTGCGAGATCGTGGCCAACAGCTGCACCCCAAACCCGTGCGAGAACCAAGGCATCTGCACCGACATCGGGGGCGACTTCCGCTGCCGCTGCCCAGCTGGCTTCGTGGACAAGACCTGCAGCCGCGCGGTGACCACCTGCACCGCCGACCCGTGCCTGAACGGGGGCACCTGCCTGCAGCACACCCAGGTGAGGTTCGAGTGTCTGTGCAAGCCCGAGTTCACAGGCCCCATCTGTGGCAGGAAGCGCGCGGCGAGCTCCCAGCAGGTCACCCGTGTGCCCAGCGGGTACGGGCTGACCTACCGCCTGACCCCCGGGGTGCACGAGCTGCCCGTGCAGCAGCCCGAGCACCGCGTCCTGAAGGTGTCCATGAGGGAGCTCAACAAGAGCACCCCACTCCTCTCCGAGGGCCAGGCCATCTGCTTCACCATCCTGGGCGTGCTGACCAGTCTGGTGGTGCTGGGCACCATGGGCATCGTCTTCCTCAACAAGTGCGAGGCCTGGGTGTCCAACCTGCGCTACAGCCGCGGGCTGCGGAAGAAGAAGAGCCTCCTGCTACAGTACCACAGCGGGGAAGACCTGGCCGTGAGCATCGTCTTCCCGGAGAAGGTCGACATGGCCACCTTCAGCAAGGAGGCCGGCGGCGACGAGATCTAAGCTGCGCGCCCCCCGCCCCCGCCCCCTCCCCCATGCTCCCGGGGTCCCGCAGAGCTCCTCTATGCGGTCCGTTCCAATCTTGGTGGGGAATTTGCTATCTTTTGTGACAACTCTGGTGAACGCTATGCTGCCCTCTATTACCTCTGTGTGGCTGTGTGACCAACACAATGCTCGAGCAAGCCTCTTTCTCTCTATTAATGCATGATAAAAATAATAAGAGTTTCATCTTTAAATGAGTCAAAGAAATATGTCGTTCTAAACTCTAAACTTAATATAAAATCCAAAAAGACCAAAAAAAAACATGGCAACTGAACCAGGACTCCCTGCCGACGTCCCTCTCCGAGGGGTCTCGGCCACAGGGTCCTTGCAATGCCGGTTGTGCGTGACCGGTCACTGTGACAAGGGCTAAAAATCTCGTTCGTTCGTGAATTCTCACACGCCACATCCGACTCGCACTCACTTCAAATCCAACATCGTAGTCTTTAGATCTTTCTGATTGATTTGAGATTTTGCAGAGTGCAGCGGCCGTGTGTCAGGCAGAGAGAGAGCCCCGGGTTGGCTGTTGGGGGGCCGGGACCTTGTCCCAGCCCTGCCACTAACTCGCTGTGTCATCCTTGGCGAGTCCCCTTCACCCGCCCCGGGCCCACCACCTTTTCAACCCTCTCCTACGAGGGGCTTGAATGCAGTGACCATCAAGGTGTTCTCCTGTCTAAAACGGAATTAGGAACGAGAGGATAGGAACCAAAACCGTCTCTGACCCTGGCGATTAAGATCTGATGAAGACGACGTCTCATCCCGGGGTCAGAAAGTTTTGGCCTGTCCCGGAGGCTCCCTCAACATGCTGAAGTCCGCCTAACTGCAGATCTCAAACCAGGGAGCCTCCTAGCCCACTCCCCATTTGGGCAATAATTGGCCGCTTTGAGTCACAACGTGCAGGTCCAGAGTTGCCACTTAAGCAACCCCGTTCTTGCCCACCCGGACCCCAACACCAAACTTGCCTCTCTCTCTAGAGAGATGTCCCTTGAAACATGAATGCACCTTGAACCACAAGTGCCCCTGGCAAAGTCTGAGCAGCGACACAGCCCTCACCAAGGTTTGCACGGGGTTTAGTGGAGATTGTCGCTTGTGGGGCGTTTTCTAGTTCTGTGGCTGAAGTGGTATCGGACCTGGTGACAGATAGATACACAGCCATGGATTTCATTTGTGTTGCTGAGGTCATGACCCTCCGATCCGAAAAGACCTAGCCAGCTTTTGAATTATGAATTTGACTTTTTTTAAAAGAGAGCATCTATATTTTTTGCAAAAAAAAAATAGAAAGAAATGGACAGAGCTCTGTTTAGCGTTCCAGCTTTTAGAGTTGGGCAGCTAAACAGCCCTTGGGTACCAGATAGGTATATTTTGCTGCTTGAATAATTTGGGTAGGAATCAGTAGTTTTATAGACTATTACCTGCCGTGTTTGCCTTGCTGTAAGTGCTTGTTTCCAAGTCATAACCACCTCCATCATCTCGATCATCCCGATCACCTCACACACACGAACATGGGTCACCGTCATCACACGACCATCGAGTTTGTCACCACCGCTCCAAGTCCCTTATCCCGATTCAAAGCCCAATCGTCCTCTCCCCCGAACTCCTGATGTCCCCACCCGAGCCCCATCAGTCACTCCCTGTCCTTTATCATCCCACCTTCGTCACCCTGTCCCTCACAGGTGACGTCACCCCAGTGTCCCCTCGCCCCCGCCCACCAAGCGCCTCCCCTCCCTCATCCCCGCCCCCTGGGTCCCCAACCCCAGTCCCTGATAACCCTCGCCCCAATTCCCCCCTCGTCCCCACACGTCATTCGAGTCATCAACTCATTTTGAGTGTTTTTCAAGAAATAATTTAAAAAAGACAAAAAAAAAGAATTGTTGGCATGTGCCAGGCGGGCAGGCGTCTGGCAGCCTGCCTGGCCTCTCTCGCGTGAGGCCTCGGTCGAGTCGGCTAACGGTTCTGATCCTCAGTTTCCCCAAATATGAAATTCTACGATTGGACGAAATGATCAAATTCTCTGCGCCACGATTTCGATCTCTGTGCCGCAGAGAACAGCCCCATCCCCTCGATGTCAAGGAAAAGGCATCCCGCTGTCTCTTCCTGACCGAGTCCCCGTCAGTCCATCGCCTTATCCTCCATTCATTCCATCAGAAAGCGTTTCCAAGCAGCTGCTCCGTGCCCGGCGGTGTGCGGGGAAGCGGCAGGTGCCGCATGATGAGGGGCGTCTGGGAGGGAAGCAGGCACACAGGTGTCCCCAGGGAGCCACGCCCAGTGCAGGTGAACGGCCGCGGGAGCAGCCGAGAGCCCTCGCCAGACGCCTCCCCTGCAACCCGACCATCCGACCTTCCCATGCGACAGAACTTCTGTCACCAGCATGTGACGCGGCCGCCCCGCCCAAACCCACGGCGCCCACCCGCGCGCAGCCCGCGGGATCAGAACAGCGTCAGCCCCTCGCCGTGGCCTTCGCCATGCAGAAATGGTCCCTTCCACCCTCCGTGGGGCAACCAGATTCTGCTGAGAGTGTTGGGACTTTTTGGCCGCCCATCCGCACCTCAGGTGTGTTTGGAGTAGTGTGTAGTTTACGTTCCAAACGGAAGAGCTCAGAGAGAGCTGTCGGCGACATGGTCAGCGGTTTGGAGGGAGGCGTGGGCGTGATGATGTTCCTGTAACCGAAAAATGTCAAAAATGTCAATGGCGCTCTTTTTAGCTTTCCCGTTTACTTAACCAGACAAGCAAAAAATTTTGTTTATTGAAAAATAAACAAAACCCAAGGGCTATTGGTGTGTTTCTGTGATCTGTTGCGCGCCAGGCTGCACCTCTTCCTTCCCGTGGCTTAGCCCCGGGCAGCAGGGGTCAGGGACCCACGCTCCGGCCGATCCGGCCCTCCCCATAGGCCAGGAGGCCAAGGCCACCAGCCCGGCCAGATCACGCTCTGTGCTCGGAGCACAGGAATTACCTGTGCCCCACAAAGGCCTGCTGGGGCTGCTTCCCTGTGCCTGTCTCTGGATGGGTGGCTGTTTGTGGGTGGGGTGGGTAGAGCTGGGAGTGAGGGCAAGGGGGGTGAGGGGGCGGGGTCCCCCACACGATCCTGCAATCCTGCCAGACCCCTCACGGCAGAGCCCAGGGCCAGTTCCCCCAGGCACCAGGCTCCGCCTGGAACTCCGGGGCGGGGGGTGGTGTCTGAGATGGCTCGCTGGCCGGGGCCCCCAGGACTCAGGAATCATCCAGGTGGGGCAGCAGGGCAGATTTGGTTTGGCACTTAGTCAGGGGGACGCGCAGCCTTTAAACGGCGGCACACCGGGTACACGGGCCTGCTTCTTCTCATCTCGGACCCTGCACACGCTGGGAGCCACCCGCTCTCTTCTGGCCTCAGGCCCTGGCCATAGGCGCAGAGACTCAGCCCAGCAAAGCCGCCCTCTTGAGTTCCCGTAGAGTGCCTGACACTGCCTGTGCCCACCCCCGAGGGGTCGGCCGGAGTCCTCGTCTCTGGCCAGGGTGAAGGAGCCACAGTCAGACCCTCAGCCCTGCTGGCCCTCAGGGCGGTAGTGTCTTCTTCACTTCCCTCCGTGGCCTGTCCCTCCTCTGCCCGGTCACTGCCACCACCCACCTAGCTGCTCAGCTGGGCCTGGGGTGTGCCTGAGATCCTTCCCTCCTCAGCCCCCTGTTGTCCCTTGGTGCTGCTCTGGCCTCCTGCCTGAACCACCCCGCTCAGCTGGGGCGTGGGCCTCGTCAGTACCGTGGGGCACACACAAGGGACAAGCAGGGGTGCAACCGCAGAGATGGACGCTATTTCAAACCCATAAGAAAATCAGGTGACAAAGCTGAGGTAACAAGAACAGAACCTTCTGGGAAACGGATGGGCTTCCTGGGGAAGCATCATTCCCCTGAATTCCCCCGCAAAGCTGACCCCAGCGGAGCACGGCGTGGGAGAAGACCCTGACGGGGGCCAGCCGCCTGTTAGCTGACTCAGTGTCCAGAACGTTCCACCCGTTGATGGAATTGGGGGGCACCCACGCTAGAGACAGGGTTCTGGGGCAAAGATAAAGACAAGACAGAACTTCCCACGCTTTTTCAAATCATGGAGGAACCCCAGCACCAACACAAAGGCAACAAAGGAGAGTCACCATCCCACTCCCAGAAAACAAACGTCCTCAATAAAATAACAAACCGAAATGGCCAAATACTTAAAAAAGAGTTTACGATCAAGCAGAGCATTTTCTGGGAAAGCAAGTGTAATTTCACATTAAGTGTATTCGCAGACAGTGGCCCGGGAGGGAGGGAACAAGGATGGGTCCCCGGAGTCACTGGAGTCACCCTGGGCTCAGGTGGGTGACCTGGGTGACGAAATCCAGAGGGACAATCCAGCCAGCATGCGGGACCTGCTCTGTCCCACGGGCAGCAGGGCAGAGGGGTGAGGGGTGGGAGTCTCAGCTCGGGGACCTGGCGGCTGCAGTGTGGGCAGAGGGCTCAGCGCCGGTGGTCCTGAGGGTCAGCAGGGCCCTTGATGGTGCCCAGAGCTTGGGGAGCCAGCCAGGAAAGCGCCCAGTGAATTCCAGGTAGGGGAAGAGACATGAGCTGCAGTGCGGGGTGTCGCTGGATAGAAGGTTCCAGAAAGCAAGTGGGGTGGGGAAGGAGCCAGCTGGACAGGGACTAGAGGGGAGGTGGGTTCCAGGGGCTGCTCCAGGCTCCCAGCGCAGAGCAGCCTGCAGGCAGCTTCAGGGGGGACAACCCGGGGACCTGGCTGGGGATGCCTGCCAAGCCAACCACAGACAGTAACGCGTTTGGGACCTCAGGCCTGTGGCTTCCTTTTCTTAGCGACCCTCTCGCTGCTGAAGAAGAAAGTGTTTGTTCTGCGCATCATACACCTAAGAACCCGGCATAGTTCACAGGAGGAAGAGGCGGGGTAACCCAGGCTCAGGTCCTAGGCCGG